TTCTTATTGCTCTCTTCTCCTAAACCATTGTTTATCTCAAAAATCCCTTGACTTTGTTAAAATCGTGCATGCCCATTTCTTCAAACTGGGTCTTAACACCTACACCTATTTGGGTAATCACTGTCTCAACCTTTACTCAGAGCTCGGTCACGCTGATGATGCACTGAATGTGTTTGACGATATTTCACACAAGAACACCATATCCTGGAACATTTACTTAAAAAGGTTGCTAAAAAGTGGCCAGCTTGGCAAGGCTTGTCACGTGTTTGATGCAATGCCTGTTAAAGATGTCGTTACTTGGAACTCCATGGTTTCGGGTTATGCTTCTTGTGGGTTTCTAAGTCATGCATTGGAGCTTTTTGTTGAAATGCAAGGCACTGGTGTGAGACCAAGTGGGTTCACTTTCTCCATTGTGATGTCACTCGTGTCAAGTCCCTTTCATGCTAAGCAGATTCATTGTAGGATGATCAGAATTGGGATGGATTTGGAAAATGTAGTTCTTGGGAATTCGTTAATAACTATGTATGGGAAGGTTGGTCTTGTTGAGTATGCTTTTGGTGCGATCATGACTATGAAGCAGTTTGATGTTATATCTTGGAACTCTTTGATCTGGGCCGGTCAAAGAGCTGGACACAGTGAGCTGGCTTTGGAGCTGTTCTATAAGATGAGAGATGCTGAGTTGTTACCCGATCAGTTTACGTGTTCAATGTTGATGAGTGTCTGTTCTAACTTGCGAGACTTGGACAAGGGTAAGCAGGTTTTTGCCTTTTGTTTCAAGATGGGATTTATTTATAATAGCATTGTATCCAGTGCTACTATTGACTTCTTTTCCAAATGCAACAGATTGGAGGATTCTGTTCAGCTCTTTAAGGAACAAGATCAATGGGATTCAGCTTTATGCAATTCCATGATTTCAGGCTATGCTAGACATGATTTAGGGGAAGATGCTCTTCGACTCTTTATGTTGACCTTGAGGAAGAATATCAGGCCAACAGAGTACATGGTTAGCTCTCTCTTGAGTTCTGTTTCGATTTTCTTACCAGTTGAAGTGGGAAATCAAATCCATTCTTTGGTTCCTAAACTGGGTTTTGAGTCAGATGCAGTTATTGCTAATTCACTTGTTGACATGTATGCTAAATTTGGGTTTATTGATGATGCGTTGAATATCTTCAAAGAAATGAAAATAAAAGATTTGGTATCATGGAACACTATGATGATGGGACTGACTTACAATGGCAGATTGTCTTCTACCATGAACCTCTTCAGGGAATTATTGACTGGAGGAGGCATGCTTCCAGATCGAATAACACTTACTGCAGTTCTACTAGCATGCAACTATGGATTATTGGTTGATGAAGGAGTTGAAATATTTTCCTCAATGGAGATTAAATTCGGAGTAAAACCAGGAGAAGAACATTATGAATGCGTTGTGGCGATGTTGAGTAAAGTTGGTAAGCTCAAAGAAGCCATTGATATCATAGAAACAATGCCGTATAGAGGTACCTCTGACATTTGGAGGTCAATTCTTTCTGCATGTGCAGTTTATGGAGACTTGCAAATTATAGAAGGTGTTGCAAAGAAAATAATTGATAGGGAAACACAAACATCCTTACCTTACTCGGTGTTGGCTCAAACATATCAAATGAGAAGTAGATGGGAGACCATGGTTCGAATGAGAAAGGCTGTGGAAACTAAAGGTACCAAAGAGTTCATTGGATGCAGTTGGATTGGAATAAAAAATACCGTGTACACTTTTGCGTCAAATCAATTACAACATTATGGTGGCAAGGATCTTTATCTGTTGTTGAATTTACTGGGCTGGGAAATGGAGACTGAAGGTTATGTCTAAAATTATACAGGCCAAAAAAAAAGTAAGAAGAGTTGTAGCAGTTGGCAAGGAATATAAATGTTGAATAGAAGTGATAGTGCTAGAGGAGGGGGAAGGAGGCAGAAAAATATATGATTTAGCGGTTACGAAGTACACATTAATTTAACTATTTCTTTAGTTATAATAAGAAATCATTTTATAGTATCGAACCTGAAAGAAATTATTAATGACATGATAGGAACACTATAATACACTCTTTTAATACATTCTCTAATATAAATGGAATATTGACATGTTTTAAAATAGATCAACAATAAGTGATAGAATGTCGCATCATTTATGAAATAAATAGATGAATATATTATGGATTCAATAATGACTAAAACAGTTATACATTAATAAAAATTAAAATCATTATAAATACCAGATTTTTATGTCTGCCCAACTCCATTCACTGTGTGGCACCTTCGACCAACACTGGTTTCGGCTTATAAAGATATATGGTTTTAGCAATGTTAAAATCAGTTGTTCAGTCTGACATGGTCTTGTAATAAAAAATATTTAATGAGTTTGTTTATATCTTAAAATTTGGCAAATCTTTTTTATTTAATATGATTTTAGATTAACTAACTACCAGATCATTTTTATCTGATTAAAAATAATTTTTTATTTATATAATATTTTTTAATTTTATTTAAAAAATAATAAGTCATTTATTTGTTGATTTAAAATTAACTTATAACTAATTTAGACAAAATAAAATCATAAAATATCATAGTACAAAATTTTATTATATAAAGTTATAATTATTTATATATTAAATACAAGTTATAAACATTTATAATTAAAGTATTTTTAGTACTTTATTTAAAATAAAGATTCAAAAATTTATTTACCTTAAAAATTCTCTTGTACTCTCTAAATTTTAGAATTAATTTTTTATTATTTCAAAAATTTAGTCTTATTATCTAACATAACTTCCCGTCATATTTTAAAAATACATTACATTTAAAAATAGGTAAGAATATATCATCTCAAATTATTGGTCCTTGTAAATAAATGAGACGACAATAATAAAAAAAATAACAAAAACAAATAAAAATTATGTTAAAAGTTTATTATTCTTTCTACATATTATATATATATATATATATATATATATATATATATATATATTATTAAATTAAATTATTATATATATTTATTAATAAAATAATATTATTTTTATTTTATTTTAAAAATAATTATTATTTTATAAAATGGGTTAACTCATATTTGATCTATGCTTAAGTCAAGTCAAAATTTATCTAATTCTATTTAAATTATAAATTTTTTTCTTATGGTTCACCCATTGAGTTAACCATGTTTAAACACTTTTATAGAAAAAAATAGGAATCGGTGAATTTTTTAATGTTCTCTTGATATGCAAATGATGCTTACATCGGTAATCTATTTAAGTAATATAAACTCTAGGAAGCTATATTTATCATAAATACTATGGAGGATTTGTTTCAACAAATTTTTTCATACCTCTTTTAAAATAGAAAATATGAAAAATAATGATATTTTATTATATAAAAATTAATTTATAAAAACTCTATCATATTTTTTTAGAGGTTATTTTAATTAATATATAAATTAATTTTAATTTATGAAAAAAAATCATTTTTCTTGTTGTTTTTTCTATAAATGCTTATCGAAAAAATTATTGAAATATATTCTAAATTTGTTAACTTTAACTTCTTTTATATAATTTGGGAATCTTGTTAAAAATAGTCACATCAATTTTTCTTATATAGAATAAATAAGTTGAACCTACTTATAATTTAGAGGTTAATTTTAGGTTGAATAGTTGACCCTAAATTTAAAGTTCAAAAAATAAAATAAAATAATTTATTTTCTATTTTGAAATATTAAAAAGATTTTTTTAAAACTATTTTTAATTCATCACATTTAGTATTTAACGCATAAAATCATATTTTACTAAATTTCAAAAATTATAATGAACTATTTTTAATTTAAAAGAATAACAAAATATTTACCTCAAATTCCTAAAACTATAATTAAACCCAAATATCGAATTACCAATAAACCGTTTTTGTTGGGTCCTGTTTTCTTTTGACATATACTCTATGAGAATAAAATCAATTTGCTTAGTTTAATTTTGGTTTTTAGTTTTTAAAAACATAATTCCGATGTTAATTTTTGAAAATAAATTAAAAAAATGTTTAATAACTTTATTTTAATTTTTTTTAAATGACAATGATGACAAGTAATATAGTGTAATTAATAATAAAAATTGAAAATTAAATAAAAAAGAATATTTTGTTATTTTGATTTTTTTAGTTTAAAAAAACAAAAAAACTTTAATAAATATTAGATAAGTTTTAAAAATTAAAAAGTCAAAACCAATAATACATATTTTTTGTTTTAGTTTTATATTTTCGTTGACTAACAATACTTTTATTAATAATTATATTAAATCACTCACTTTCATCGTTATAAAATTATCCAAATATTTTAATTTTTTTTCTTATATCATTCTCTTTAATTTTAAATAATTTTTCAAAAATAAAGTTATTAAATAAATTTTTTTAACTTATTTTTAAAAACAATCTTTAAATTTTAAAATTGTTTTTAAAAAACAAAACAAAACTATATATATAAAACTAAATCTTGTTCAATTTTGAAGACCGCCAAGTTGTTGCTTAGAAAGAACACTACAAACTGGATATAGATCAAACCATCAATTTTTTGCACACTAAGTCACCTTTCTAATCCCAATCACGTATATCTTCATTAGGTAAAAGGAAAACGAATGTTAGTTGCTGCTAAGTGTTCAATCTCTCTGGTCTGCCAAACAACTTTCTCCAAGAACAGTTGCAGTGGCGGCTCTTACATTACACGCAGCTGTAAAGGTATTTCTGCAAGGGCAAGCTTAGATTAAAGGTCACAAGCACCTACTTCATACACAATACAATGTCCACCTAATCATTGTAAATATTGAGAAGTGTAGCATGCGAATCCCATTGGGGATTCCTTCTTCGAGGCGAACTTTGCACAGCTCTTCCTCCTCCTCCTTCTCCGCACCAGAGAGCGCGCCGTAGTTGATCAAACCCCAATTTCTAAAATGGTTTCCCAGTGAAGCCGCGATTGGTGATAATCGTGTTACATGGGTGTGAGTGCCGCTTCTATACTGAACCAACTCCTCCGCAAGCAAAACCTGAACCCACAGCAACAGTCCCAAACAAACGCAGTGATCAAAACAATCCTCACTTACCTCAAAGCGGGACGCATCCGAAAAGCCACTTCCATTCTCTTCGCATTCCCAAAACCCTTCCCGTACTCTCTCTATGCCCTTTTCTTCCGCCTATGTTCATCCCACCGCACCATCGTCGAGGCTCGCAAGGTCGAGTCCCACTTGCTCACCTTCTCCCCCAACCCGCCCACCTTTCTCCTCAACCGCGCCATCGAGTCCTACGCTAAATGCCACTGTCTCCGCGACGCCCGCGAACTGTTCGACGAAATGCCTCGACGAGATGGCGGCACGTGGAATGCCCTCATTACTGCTTACTCCCAGTTCGGTTTCCCTGACCAGGCTTTTTCCTTGTTCACGTGTATGACTAGGTCCGGTGTTTTCCCCACTGAGGTTACTTTTGCTAGCGTTCTTGCCTCTTGTGCTGCTGCTTTTGAACTTCTTCTTTCCAAGCAGGTTCATGGGCTGGTCACAAAGTTTGGCTTTTGTGGCAATGTGATCCTTGGGAGTTCACTTGTTGATGTGTATGCCAGGTGCGGGGTTATGATTGATGCTCGCAGGATGTTTCATGAGATTCCGCAGCCTAATGCTGTCACTTGGAATGTGATTGTGAGGCGTTATCTTGATGCAGGTGATGCAAAGGAAGCAATTTTCATGTTCTCGCGGATGTTTTCCGCTGCGGTTCAGCCGATGAATTTTACTTTCTCTAATGCTCTTGTTGCTTGTTCCAGCTTGTCTGCGCTCCATGAGGGGATGCAGATTCATGGGGTGGTTGTGAAGTTGGGCCTCCAAGAGGATAATGTCGTTTCAAGTTCGCTTGTGAACATGTACGTCAAGTGTGACAAGCTGGAGGATGGTTCTCGGGTTTTTGATCTGCTTGGTTCGAGAGATTTGGTATCTTGGACTTCTATGGTATCGGCGTATGCAATGAGTGGGAAAACTTTGGAGGCAAGAAAGCTTTTTGATGAGATGCCTCAACGGAATGTCATCTCATGGAATGCAATGTTAGCAGGATATGTTCGGTGGTTTGATTGGTCTGAGGCGTTAGATTTTGTGTATCTCATGCTTGATAAGATTAAATATGTAGATCATGTCTCTCTTGGTTTGATGTTAAATGTTTCTGCAGCCATTTCGGATCATGAAATGGGGAAACAAATTCATGGATACATCTATAGACATGGCTTCCACTTGGACATTAGGGTTAGCAATGCCCTTCTTGATATGTATGGTAAATGTGGAAACTTGAACAGCGCCAGAGTTTGGTTTAACCAGATGAGTAATTGGCGTGACAGGGTTTCTTGGAATGCTTTGTTGGCTAGCTATGGCCATCATCAGTTAAGTAAACAGGCTTTATCAATGTTTTCAGAGATGCAGTGGGAGACAAAACCAACCAAATATACACTTGGAACCCTTTTGTTAGCATGTGCAAATACCTTTTCTCTTTATCATGGCAAACAAATTCATGGGTTCATCATTAGACATGGATTTCACATAGATACTATTATCAGAACTGCTTTGGTTTACATGTACGGTAAATGTCGTTGTCTCGACTACGCTATTGAGGTTCTGAAGGGGGCAGTTTGTAGGGACGTGATAATTTGGAATACTATAATTTTGGGATGTTGTCACAATCATAGGGGTAAAGAAGCGCTTGAACTTTTTGTGATTATGCAAACAGAAGGCATCAAGCCAGACCATGTGACCTTAAAGGGCATTCTGCTTGCTTGCATTGAAGAAGGCCTGGTTGACTTTGGCACAGAATGCTTCGACTCAATGAGCAGTAGATTCCAAGTCCTACCTCGGCTGGAACATTATGACTGCATGATTGAACTTTACAGTCGGCATGGATACATGCATGACCTCGACAATTTTATGAGGACAATGACCATTGACCCCACCCTTCCTATGTTGAAGAGAGTTCTTGATGTTTGTCAGAAAAATGAGTGGGCAAGATTGGGAGAATGGGTCACAGAAAAAATTAATGAATTTAAATACTAACTAATTTTAACCGTAGGGCTGTGCATTGTAGCAGCGACATCTTTGTATTGTCATAAAGGCAATTAGTCAGATACCAAAGACTTGCAGTGAAATATGAATGATCTGTAATGATATCATCAGATTAATACCTGGATGTGCTGCCAAAGAATAAATGCTTTCTTCAGTTGCAGTGAGGACATTCTCTACTTTTGCTGAAACAAAACGACCATGGTGTCTATTTTTTTGGCATGTGGCAAGCTTTAAGGTTTATGAGGATAAATTTATTTTCCAAGTTATAAGAAGCATGGGCAAAGAGAAAGGACAATCTCCACTGTTTAAAGGAAAGAGCTGAGAAGTAATTGTTTAATAGGATTATTTTGCTTATTTTGGGGTGTTTCATATGCTGGGCCTTAAAAATAAATGTAGAACGGAACAAATTCCCTTATCTGTTATTCCTTTCCAAAGTGAAAGGAAAGAAGAATTGGAGCGAAGACTCTGTGGCAACGGCGTATTCAAATCCAAAACATAGGCTAAAAACACGTTAATAATGTAGTGTTCATATTCTTATCTCCTTACTTTTTCTTTGTGTTGCTTTGATTTGCTTTGATTCCATATTTTGATTCTGTCATATGATCTAAAAATTAATCATAATATTTAAAATTTTTGATTCCATATATCTTCGTGTCGCATGATTTCAATGCTTCAAAAGTTGTTTCGAAAACCATCATCGCTATCCCCAAATTCACCATTGTCTTCAATCTCCCAACTCTCATTAGCTTCTCCTGTAAACTCCCACATTTCAATTTCCTCTCGTGCTTGCTGTCAGAAACAATATAGTAACCGAATACAAAAAAACCAATTCAACCATCATCGTCACTACCCCATTTCAGAAGCGGATCCAAGCCCTGAAATCTCTTCCATGATCCAATCCACTAGGGGCCAGTTCTCCATATCCTCCCTGCTCCCCTCCACTTTCTCCAGCAATACCTCCTCCTCCAACAGTGATGCCCCCACCATCAATGGCACTGCCCAAAGCAAGAATAAAAAAAATAGAAAATAACTCTTTTGCGGCAACGTTCAGTTTGTTGGGTACAAGGCCGGCGCGTCGCAGCAGGTAGCGGTAATGGCAGTGATTCACTCCTCCACCGATTGGTGAGCGAAGAAAACAAAAAGAAGCAACCGAACCAGCCGGTGTGCCGGGTCTTGACGGCCCTGCTTGGAAAACCAGCCGATACACTCACAGTGACCAGAACTTGACGTCGTCATAGCCACTAGGTTTCTCCATCGCTTCCGTCGCGCGTTTCGCTCACCAACCTCCTTCCATGTCTCTTCCCACTCTCTTTAATGTGTACATTCGGGAAGGATTATCCGTTTCCCTTTACCCTTTCTTCTCGCGACAACCATAAGTTTGGGTGTGGGAAATATGTTTTAATGGGCCTCAGAGTTTGTTATGTTGGCCCAAAATTTTTGTTTTGTTATGTTTTTTTAAATTAAACAAAATATTGTTAATTGAATTTTGGATCTGTAAAATTATAATTATAAGTTAAGTTATTTAGTTTATTGTTGTCAATTAAAAATATTATTAGTAAAATAATGATACAAAAAATAATTAAGTAAATATTTAAATAATAATATTCAAAGTTATAAGACATTTCTATTTTCAAATATTTAATTTATATATTTAAGCCTATTTTATCTGTTTTTGTTTAATTTATTTTAATTTTGACATGTATAATGTTCTTGTTTTATTTATTTTAAGATTGACATGTATAATAGTATGAGGAGATAACATCTATCATATTATCTTTATAATATTTTATAATAAAATTATTATAATATAAAATATATTTATAATTTTAATGATAATAATAATAATAATAATTACTTTAAAAATATTTTTAATTTAATAATAATTATTAAAAATATCATAATTATCGAATGTTCAATTTGATTTTAAAAAATAATAATAAATAGATAAACAAAAATAAAATTGATAAAAAAATATAAAACTCCAAATTATTTAAAATAAATATAATATTTAAGATCATTCTAAATGTGTTTTTAATTTGATTATTTAAAAATTAATTAAAATAATGTATTTTTAACATAATTATCTAAAAATTATTTTTGATATAAAATTAATGTAATTATTTATTAAATTATAAATAAAAATTTCATTATATTATCATAATAAATCATTAAATAAAATTTAGAAGGTAAGTTAAAATTATTATTTACAAATATTTCTCTAAAAAAATATGTAACCGTAATTCTAATTCTTTATTATATACAAAGATATGTAAGAATATAGATATAATTTCTATTGAGTTAACATTATTAAAAATATATTATTTTCTATTTATTATTATTATTATTGTTATCAATTTAAAATTTATTATAAGATAATTTTTAGAGATAAAATAAATAAAATTTAAGATTTTTTTATATATTTAATTAAAAGTAATTGTTTTAAAATGGATTTAAAAGATATTAATATTTTCGTATGTTAATCGGTTTGGAGAGAAAGAACATGTAATTACAAAACATCTAACTAGATACCATTTCAATTTACTAATAGAAGAAGATGGGACCACAATTTGGTTACTGAAAATGATAATAAAAATATAAACTCAATTGGGTTTATATTTTCTGCCGACAATAATAAATTATCATTTGTTTTTGGCGGAGAAATTGTTATCTTTTTCTTTTTTAAACGTACAATTTGGTAAGAACTTTGGTGGTATACAACGTTGTTTCAAAAGATCAAACACCATTTGACATTGATTAGCAGGGATCTAATTAAGAAATTACATGGCTTACGCTAAGAGAGAAAATTTAATCATTAATTATTGGATGGAACTCCAATTAATTTCACATTAGTTTGAGCGATTATCAGTTTCTTGCGATAGCTTGTGGATGTGGAAAGTAAACATTCTCAAAATTGTGTGGATTGGATCGCGGTCCTTAATTATTAATTTATATTAATGTTTTTTTTAATTTAAAATATAAACTGAAATTAGTGTCATCTTTCAATGAACAGTGTTAAGTGTTAAATAAACCAGTAAAATATAATTACGAAGCTTTCAAAACGAATCTAGCACGTTCACACTTCCATTATATCCATATGCAAAAACATATGTATTTTTTGAAGTCCAATTCCAAAAATATGTGAAAATTTTAATCCAACGTTTTACGTCATGGGTGACGGACGACTTTAATACAAAGACAAACAAAACTTAAGCGCAATAGTATATTTACACTTTAATTTCATACATGTTTTATTGTTTAGATTTTTATAATGCTATTTAACTATAAAATCATCATATTTGAAATGTTTTCAACTATAATAATAGTCGTTAAGAAAATTATAAGTAACATATAATTGGTTCATAATGTAAAAGTCTTAAAAAATGTTTTTGGAATATGTTTATATTTTTCTTTTGATCCTTATTTTTCTTTTCACTTTTGGATCATGAAAAAAAAAATTGTATTTTATTTTTGTCGATACATTAATTATGTTAACTTGGCATGTAACTCTACTATTAAAAACATATGATATTTATTTTAAAAAAATATCTCTTATGAGAATAAGAAGGAATAAAAAAATTTAAATAGATTTCTTCTTAAGAGTTTTTAACTAAAAATAAAAAACTGTTTTAGAGATAAAAAAATTTTGAATTAGCATATCCATTAAAAACTACTTTATTTATTTAATTATTATATATTAATAATTACTTTTTATTTATTATTATATATTATATTAGTTATTATATTTTAAACTATCAATTATTATATTTTGGACTATTAATTATTATATTTTGGATTACTATCTTCTTCTCGATCTTATATAAGAAACTCAATCAAGGAGTAAATCTTATCCCATCACTCATTTTCAATTGTCTAAAAGCTTACTTGAGTGTCAAAGTACATTTTGTAGTTGAGTCTCTACTTTTTTTAAAGGAAGACATTTAACATTCTCAAAGCTAAAGCTGAAGTCAAAACTTATAAAACAATCTACTGAACATGTGGTGGCCTCCGTGAAGCTTGATAAAACAATCTTCATGATCTCTTTCACTCTATGGTTTTAACTAGTAGACAAACGGTACCCAACTTCAACTATTACCACGAGTATAATATTATTATCCTACTCGGAGTCACACAAGTATATAAAGACTAATATCCTATTCGGGGTCATACAAGTATAAAGACTATTATCCTACCCATGATCACATGAGTATAAAACTATTACCCTACTCGGGATCACATGAGTATAAAACTATTATCCTACTCAAGGTCGCACGAGTATAAAACTATTATCCTACCCAAGGTCGCACAAATATAAAACTATTACCCTACTCAGGTCACACGAATATAAAACTATTATTTGACTCGGGGTCATACAAGCATAAAACTATTATCCGACTTAGGGTCACACGAGCATAAAATTATACCCAACTTAGGGTCACACGTGTATAAAATTATTATCCTACTCGAGGTCCCACAAGTATAAAAAATTATTACTTACTCGGGGTCATACGAGTATAAAACTTATTCTACTCGGAGTCACACGAGTATAAAACTTACCCTACTCAGAGTCACACGTATAAAAAATTAACCCTACTCGGGGTCACATGAGTATAAAATTATTATACAAGGTCACGTGAGTTATACATACCTTACTCGTGTATATGAGTTATAAAAACTTGCATCTACCTTACTTTGAGTCACACGAGTAATACATACCTTACTCATATATATAAATTATCAAAATCTATATTTATCTTACTTGGGGTCATACGAGTTATCAAAACTTCACTACTAGAAAAATGTCAAATAATAACCGAAATCAGTGACCGAAAAATTTAGTTACTATCGATGACCGAATCAAGTAACCAAATTATTATTTTTTAGTCTAGTAAGCGAAATAGTAACCGAATTTTCGGTCACAAAAATCTGATTACTATTTCAGTCACTTTATTATTTAATTTATTTTTTTAATTAATCTATATTTAATTTATGTAATTATTTACTACAAAAATGGTTAATAGTGATCGAAATTAGTGACTGATTTTTTTTATATTTAGTAACTGATTTAGTGACTAAAATTTCAGATCACTAAAAAAATAATTTTTAAACTCGATAACTATTTTTCATTTATATAAATATTTTATTTAAAATATTTTAAATATAAATTTACTTAATGATTTAAAATAATTGATAACATTTTTAATAAAATTATAAATATTTAAAAAAATTGTTTACTAACTTATTAAATAATTTAGTAATATAATTATTTGATTTTATTTTTTAATTTAGCATGTGAATAAAAAAATTAAAATTGATTATTAAATTAGTCACCGAATCGGTCATCGATTCGATCACCGAATCGATCACTAATTCGGTCACCGATTCGGTCACTAATTCGGTCACCGATCGGTCATCGATTCAGTCATCGAATCGGTCACTAAATCAATAATTAAATTAATTATTAATTTAGTCTCTTTATATATATATATATATATATATATATATATATATATATATATTACTTGTATGTTAATAAAAATGTATTTCAATGTATTTATAAAAAATTAAAATTATTTTAATTACTGAATTGATATTTTAAATTTATATTAATATCTTGAATAATTTAATAGTTGGATATATATATATATATATATATATATATATATATATCACTTTAATTTTTTTAATTAAAATTAATTTCATAAAAAAATTAATATTTGAAAATTAAAATGCAAATATATATATATATATATATAAATTTATTTATTTTTTAAAGATGATATATTCAATGTATGTTAAAAAAGTTCAAGCCAAACTGTTTTTATAGAAGATTTTCAAAATCATCGGTTTAATTAATCTGTTAAAAGATTCTTTTAATATGTTAAAAGTGCAGTTTTAATCTGTTAAAACTTCTTTTAATCCATTAATACGTTCTTGATTCTTTAACAGATTTGTTTTAACTGATACTGACAACGCTTATATCAATTAAA